ATTTTTTACTTAGAAAAGTATATATATTATCTTAATAAAATTATGAGTAATTTTAATTTATATTTTTGTTCAAAAATGTTTAAAAATATCTAAAGCTATTCTGTAACAATACTGATGTATATAATATAATAAGTGTTATTAGAATTATTATCAGCTAATACAAAAAAATATTATTCTTTAAATTGTAAACTAATGCAAAAAAATTTGTTTGCATTTTTGTACTTATTTAGCTCTAATTTACTTTATTAAAATGCAAAAATATCAAAAAAATAATTATAGATAATAAAATTTAAAAATATGATTATCTTTTTGCAATATTTGTTTTTATATTATAAGAAAAAAATTTATAGTTATATATGAGCTAAAAATAGCTAATTTTATAAAAAAATTTTTTGCAAAAATTTTATTAGTATTTTAAGGCAAACTTGTTTAATTTAAGTTTTAGAGATATAATGATTAAGCAATTTGATAAAACTTTTAAAGGATTACAACTTTAATTATTACAACTTTTGTAACTTACTTGTAAAAATTTATATTTGTATTAGAAGTAAAATTATTTTTAATCTTGTTTAATATAAAATTTAAAAAAATTTAATCAAAAATTTTATAGTAAAAATTTTTAAAACAAAACTTTAAAAATTTATTACTCAAAACTTTTATAATAATTTTAAAAAACTTTCTTAACAAAGTTGTTAAAATAAATATTAAAAAATATTATTTACTTAGAAAGTATATATTTAAAGTTAATATTGAAAGTTTTATTTAAAATTACAAAAATTAGAAATGAATACAAGCAAATTTGTTTGTATTACAATTTAAGAAATAATTAATGAACTTGAATATATTTGTTATAGGTATCTCACTGAAGATGATATCAATATTGTACTATATAATTCTATTCTACTATTGAAATTAAATTTATATATAAATGTAAAAGTAGCTTCCACTTTTTATATAATTTCTTACTTATATAAATATATTTATAAAAGACTAAATTATGTAACAGTTAATATTTATATAGAAAAAAATAAACCTAAAATTATTGATAAAATCAATAACTATATTAATGCACATTATCTTTCTACTATAGAAGAAGTATAGTAAATTTTTAAATATAAAATAACTTCACAATTACTATTAGTAATATGTTTACTAGTTTATTTACTTGACAAACAGATTATCATATGTGATAATGACAGCAATAATCTTTTAATACTACAGAACTATTTTTTTTGACCAAAAAACTCAGAATTTAAAAACCTTAAGTATTGCAAATATAACAAATTATACAACTTTAAATATGTTAAACAATCATATAATCAAAATTCATTACCTTCAGATATTTATTTAGAAAAAAAACTTGAAAGATATTGTTATTGTATTGTATAACTATATAAACAAAATTATATACATATAACATAAATGAACATAATTTGTCTATTAGTAAATAAAAAATATTATATACTTTTAAACTATTATTCAGCTTGATCTTTTGAAGATTTACAATTAATAAATAGAGTTTTATATGCTATATTTTAAGATGCAGCATGTGCTTTTAGTTTATTAGAAAATATAACAGAACAAGAACAATGCTTTAATAAAGCTATATCTTATAACTATATACTAACATAACCTACTTATTATTTTGCTATCTTATTATAGAAGACATGGCTACTCAAACAATATAACAAAATCATTATAGACTATTATCTGCTGATTATATAAACAAAAAAAAAGATATGCAAGAAGGAGAAAATGAAACTTTGATATATATTACTAATTTTTTAAAAGAATATGATATCAAAATAATACAAACAGACTTATCTTAACTACTAAACTACCTATTAAAAATAATACATATCAAAACACAATATAATAACTATAAAGAATTAACTACAAAATAAGAAAAAATAGTTCATAAATTAAATTTTGAACAAAAAGTTATATATCAAAAAATCTTAAATCATATAAATAAAAATATATTTCTAACAGTTTTTATTAACAATCATACAAGTTATAGTAAAATATTTTTAATAAATGTTATCTGTATTATAGTAAGAAGTTTAAAAAAAATAATATTTTTTTGTGCATCAACTAGACTAGCTACACTTAATTATGATAGAGACTGCATAGTATATTTATTATTTCATATTCTAATAGAATATAATAAAGATAAATACAAATATTAGATCAAACTAAATAGTAAATATGTAAAACTAATTCAAGAAATATCAGTAATAACTTAAGATAAATTATCTATAGCACAAAAGGGTAATATTGAAGCAATAGATATATTTTTATATAAACTTTGTAATTACAACTTACCTTTTAATAGAAAAATTTTTATCAGAATAGGAGATTTTCATCAAGTTGCCTCTGTAGTTCTAAATATTAAAAAATTAGCTACAATATTAGAATTAATTAAATTGTCTATAATTTGAAACTTATTTAAAGTTTATAACATTTAACAACTAATTTGAGATGCTAATAATCCTAAATATTCTCAACTTATACATAATATAGGTAATAGTATAAATAGTAAAAATATATTTTTACTATTAATAAACATAACATATAAATTAAATAAAGCTATTGATTTTACTTTTTCAAAAAATATATTAAATGATCCAATTGCATATCTACAATAGGCTATACTTTCTATATTAAATATAGAAGTAAATTTTATCAATAATACTATCTTATAATAACTAGATAGCAAAATTATCAATTTATATAATTCTAATAACTTAGCAGATGATGATACCAACTGTACTATAAATAGAAATTAAAATATTCAAAGAAATATAATAAATATTGAATTAATAAACTTACTCAATTTATTAAAAGTATCTATATAATATCTTATGTTAAAATATAGCTATATTGTAACAAAAATACAAAATCTTTCAATATATAATAGTTGTATAAAAATAGTAGAGTTATTATATTAAATATTAGTTACTGATTAATTACTATACAAAATCTTATAACACATTCCATTATACACATATCACAAATAACTTTCTATTTTGAATTCTGTGTTTTCTTTTTAAAATTAGCTACTACTAATTTCTATTATATCTTGCCTACTCTTTAACATTCAATTCTTTACAAGAACTAATGCTAAACTAAATAGTATTTGATTTGTATACTCTAATATTTAATCATGACTAACTTTATATAGTACTTATATAAGTATATCAATAAAACTATATACTAATACTCTCTAAAAAAGACAGTTTGTTAAATAAATTTGTTACTAAAATTATTATATATTAAGAATTACTTGAATAACAATTAAAAACTCAACACATTAACAACATATTAAAATAAATACAAACTTATTCTATTTACTATTTCAAAAAACTATTTAATAAAAATATTCTATATAATTGCATTTAAGATAAAAATTATACTATCATAATTCTTAATTTTTCTACTAAGTTTAAATAAATATATAAATATTATTCAAGAACAAATTATACTACTATCTAAATACTAATCAAACAATTCATATAAAAAAAAATAAAAAAATAAAAAATAAAAATTAATACTTTAAATCATATACTAAACTATCTAATAAAAAAATTATTTGCAAAACTTAATAAAATGAATATTCTATTAAATTATAATGCTTACATTAAAATCTAATAATTTTTTTTTATTTTTCAATAAGCTATCTACAGATTTTTATTAAATATTATTTTTAAGTTATATTTATTAGTAAAAATATAATTAGCTATATATATAACTTTAGTTATTTTCTATTTATAGATTCTACTATATAGATTACCTACTAATTGCTATATCTAGTATCTGCTTATAAATACTCTATTTAAACTCTCTAGTATCACTATGAAACTTTATTTTTAATCTAATATTTTTATATCTACACTAATCTTATACTACCTCATTTTGAGAACTACTTAGACCAACTTGTGTCTCAAATTGTCTTTATAGAACTAAGCTCTATCACAAGATACCCTAATATGTTCTATTTTAGTAAAAGCTTGTAGATGACTTCAACTATACTGTGCTATATTCTAATTAAGCTAGCATATATTCTTATCGATGTTTGTACAAATCTAGTTCTTTCTGTAGCTTTCTACCAAATTGGTCTAGTTCTTCTAAATATTTTACAAGATAAATTCTTCCAAATTTAGTTAGCTATTAAGCTAGATTAGTATTGCTATTCATATAATATTGTATTATACTTGATTTTTCTATTATACTATAAACTTACTTGTACTTACTTAGTTTGTATTCTTTATATCTAGAATTTCTCTAAATTAAATATTAAGCTAGTATGACTGTTAAAATCTATACTACTTTATTTAACTTAGGATTTTTACTATACAGATCCTCTGTCTATAGATCCTATTATGATTTATTCATATAATATTATATAATACTTGACTTTTTTAATATGCTTCCAATATCTAATTGATATTAGTATAATATGATTTACAGGATTACAACCTCAAAAATAAATAGGGTTTACTATAAGTAGAATACAAAGATCTGAATAATTATTCAAATTTGTTAACAGTAGAATTTGAAACTCAGACTTTTTATATAGTGATTTGATAATTTAATTACTACACTAAAATTACCAGACCTCAAAATCTAATAATAAAATATAAATATAACTAAAATAAATTTTTAAAACTATATATTTATATTTATATATATATGTGTATACTAAATCTAATAAAAACTAATATAACTTTATTAAAATTAATATAATATACAAATATAAACTTGAAAATATGCAAATTTAATAATATTTTGGCAACTAATTTAGCATATAAGACAAAGCTATATATATTCTTTAAACTTCTTAATTTAATATATGAAATAAAAAAATATAATAGTAATATAAATATATTCATTTTTTTTAAGATTATTATTAGAATTACAAGATCTCAAACTATTAGAAGTAGATCAACTCACACTACTTCTTCTGCTTCTACTATTATATATAATACTCTTTTTACTTTTATCTTTTTTAGACATACCCTCCATCTTATTACTTCTAATATCTTCAATATAAAAGATTCTATCTGACTGAAAATTATAACATTTAATATTATCAAAAATTTTATTAGAATTCTCGATTTTCATATGTTTTGAAGAAAAATCTTTATCTAATATAGAAGAACTAGTTTGAAGTTTATCAACTATGTTACTTAAAACAATTAAACATTAAACTTCAACCTCAGAAATGATTTTCAAATCTTCAACAATATTTTGATAAATAGAAAGAAACTTTGCTCAAGTAAAATTAATACTTTCAGATGAATTACTAGAATTAAGATTATTAATATTTAACTTAAAAGAAAAATGTGTATTAATATAGTTGATTTCTTTATATAAACAAAAAAATTATTAACAATAACTTCTATTTGTCTAATAATGAAAATAAGTAAACTTTGTAGTTAAATTGTATTTTTCAGATTAATAAACTATGAATTAAGATTTAGAAAAACAATTTTGCTAAAAAATCTAAGTTCTTGCTCAATATAATTATTTATTAATATTTTAAAAATAGCATTATCATCATTTTTTAATGTCTGTAATAACTTTTGAGAAACTCATATTTAAAAACCCTCAATAGGTATTTATTCAAATTTCTAGCTTTACTAAGAATATTCATACTAGTAGAAATAGAAACTGTCATCTAAAATTAAACAAAAAAATAAGTTAATAATATTAAAAAAAACTTCTAATAAATAATATAAACTAATACTTTCAGTTTTTTTGTACTATTATAATACCTAGATATAATTTTATTACCAACAGAATAAAAATGGTCTCTTTCAAAAAAAGTCTAAGTCTACAGATTATACTAAATAGAATTAATAGATAAAAAAAAAACTAACTCAATTTTACTCTCTTCACAATCAACAGAATAAGTACCAACAGTCTACAAAACTCTATAATTATTTTTAATACTTTTATTTTGATAAATATATTTAATCCTAACAATAGTATTTGTATAACACAGTATGATAAAATTTAATATCTGTAAATACTATTAATAAAAACCTCAATTCTATCAAAATAACAACTAAAAAATTTATTTAAAAACTATTAAAGACACTAATTATATAAATAAAAAAATTACTAATAAAAAATCAACTTAAATAATACCAAATAAAATAAAAAATTATGAAATGAATATATCAAAAATTTTTAGCAAAATTTATTTACAATCCCAAATTTCCTATATATATGATATTATTTACTAATAAATTATATTGCAAATAATTTCTATAAAAAACAAATATATAATTAATAAACAAAATCACAAAATAATAAATAATATCAATATGTAAAAATAATTATAATACCAACTTTACTAAACATATAAATATACTAAAAAAATCTATTATTAAAATTCTAATTATATTTTATATATAGTTAACTGTTTATAAAAAATTCTAACAAAATAAATTATTATCATAAACAGAAAAAAATATATCTGAACTAAGGTTAATTCTACAAATAATGTGATTAATTAAAAATAAAACTATTTATATAGTTTTAATTAATCAAATCATAAATAAGATTTACTTTCAATTAAATACATTTACTTCTATTAATAATAATAAATTTCTCATAAACAACTAACTATACAAAAAAAAATAAAATTATGATAAAAATTTTTACTATAATTATAAAAATAAATAGATGATACAAAGTGCTATCTATTGAACTAGTATTTATTAATAAAATTATAATTTTTTTTAAAATTTCAACCTTTGCAAATAAAGATAAGGTCTTGTCTTTATCTTTATTTGAGTAAAATATAGTTGAAAGTTTACATGAAACTACTAGATAATAAATTACATACAAGAATTGAAGCTTATATAATAATAAATTGCTATACCTAAAATTAAACTAGATTTAATTAGAGAGAATAGAGTTTGTAGAAAAGCTATATTTAATTCAGTATAATGGCCAAGCTGAGAGTTTTTGTATAGCAAGCTTAGTTGATGAAATTTGGTTATATTGAGAAGAAGAGCTATATGAGTTATATAGTTCTTGTAAAGTATTTGAGGTTTGTTGATAGTTTTTTTGATTTGATTGAAAATTTAGTATAGAATATTAATATTATATTGTTTCTTCTAATTTGTATATTCAGAACAATAGAGTAGCCATAATTGTTCATAAATTTTTGAGTTAAGTTTAAGGAATAGTTTGATAATTAATTGTAAAACAATTTGAAGTGAGTTAGTATATAGCTGAATTATTTAAATTAAAGTGTATAGTAGAAGTTCTTTAAGTGAAGTATATAAGCTAAGAGTATTAAGAGTATTTGAAGCTAGTTGAAGTGAAGGATATTGTGTTATTAAGTTTCATAGTATATTAAGTTGAGATTTATTAATTTCTAAGTTTATAGTATGGAGAGTTTCATTTACTGATTATAAAATAATTTCTTGTAAAATATTATCATTATAATTTGTGATCTAATAAAGTTCCGAATTTGTTTGGTTGCATTTGAAATATTTGTTATTTGGTATAATATTTAGATAATATTTTTGTAGATATAATGGTGTAAGTAGTTCATTATGTAGAAGTTTAATATGAAAAGTTTTGAGTTTACTAAGTTTGAAATTAGTAAATTTGTGTGAATATTTGTTGTTATTGTTAAGGTATAACTATGTTGAATTGTAGTTAATTTAGTTATATAGATAAGTCCATATTTGATTATAATTCTGTGATGACCATATTGCAATAATATGAGTATTGTATATTGTTTTGATAAGTCTATGTATAAATTGTTTAATATTATAATTTTCCTATATAATATGAAAGTTAGAATTATATAAATTAGTATATTTGAATTCAAGATATGGTAAAGTTTGATAATTTTGTGCTAGTATATTAGCTGCTTCAAATCATCATTGCTATGAGCCAATACTTTGTAGAAAGTTATTGAGAGTTTATAAGATTTAATAAGGTTGAGTGTTGTGTGCCAAATTCACTAGTAGTTATAAGAATAGAAATATGAAGGGTTTGTTGTTTTTTGAATAAGCTTTTAGTATTTAGATATTACAAATTGTGAGTCTGTATAAATATTAATTTTGCAATTACAAGAAGCTATACTAATTGCTAATAGTATTACAAGTAACTTTGTTTTGTATGATGAGGGCTAGTATTGAATTTGTACTATGAAAAAGTTTGTTATTAGATTGTTTTCATCTTATACACATCTGATATCTATAGAGCAATAGTTAGTTATTAGATTATGAACAGATTTATCTATATAAAAAGTTAAATTTGTAGAGTTAAAGTTAGAAGTTGAATTAGTATTTAGTTTAAGAGAAGAGCTATTTAAGTTAAATAGTTTAAAGACAGGATTGTTATAAATAAGAATATTTGAGGTAAGAGGTATATATGCTAGGTTTATATTTGCAATAGCATATATTAGGTTCAGATAATTTGTATTAAATTTGAGTAATATATTTGGATTATTTGAAATTTTTCTTTTCTAAAATTTTGTTGATAAAGTAGCTGAAATATCAAAAGTATATTAGTTTTTAATTCTATTTGAGTTTAAATTGTATTTAGAACAAGAGCTACAAGTTAAAGATAGAGTTGAATAATATTCAGTATATGTGTAATCAATATTATATATCTAGTGTATAATAGAGATTGTGTTAAGTTAGTTATTAAATAGACAAGCTTTGCCTATTATAATTAAGTTATTATAGTTGTTAGTAATTAGCTAAGGTTTGTATTTTTTGTTGAAATGTTCAGTAGTATAACTAAAATAGTTATTTGGTGTAAGTACTAGTTATTGAGTAAGTTTTTTTATAACAGGGTTTTTAATTAAAGTGTTTTCAAGATATTTGAACTATGTTAGAGTTTTGCCTTTAGGCAAATAATCTATTTGTGGAGATAGATGTTCTCATTTTAGAAGTATGCTATTGTCCATAGTAGTAAGCTAGTTTAAGTAAAGTATATTTTTTGTTTTAAATTGTTTTTTGAAAGTATTATAAGAGTTATATTTGTTGAGTAGTTTTTTAAGAGAATATACTGAATATGTTATAGTATAAGGCTATATTATACTATAGTATATATCTATTTACATATTTAGATATTGAAGTAGCTAAATTATTTTAAAGTTAGTAGAATACTTATTTTTTCTATCAAAAATTGGATTAGAATAGTGAAGAATATTTGTAGTAGACTACAAATTATTTTGTAATTGTTGAATACAGATTTTAGTTGTTATTTTTAAAATATTTGAGTCATTAAAACAAAGTAAAAATTTTGAAATATAATATTGAAGTTGTATATCTTATATATTTTTAATTTCATAGATATTATAGTTGAGTATAATACTATTTGGAATACTTTGTGAAAGGTTGGATTTGTGTTTAGCTATAATTAGATATATAAAGAAAATTTGTTCACAAGTTGTTTTTAATAAAACAATATTGTGAATTCGATATTTGAAAGTTGGAATAATAACTATATTTATAATATAAGCTATTTGTTTATCAGTTATTTGTTTAGTTTTAAGGATGTTAATAAGAGTTTGTGATTCTTGAGTAATAAGTTTGACTTGTTGAGTTTGTTGGTAACTAGATAGAAACTAATATTTTAAAAATTTAAAAAGTATATTTTTAAGTTGTGAAGAGATTGTCTATTGAATAAAGTTAATAGGTAGTAGATTTTTTGAATTTGTACTAAAAGTAGATTTAAGTAGATTAATTTTCAAATTAGCCATTTTGAAAAAGAATGAAGCTAATTCAAGGATTTAATCAAATTTATTTTTTGAAGAAGCATGTAGTTCAAGAGACTTTCAAATTATAACCTTTGTATGTTTTGGTGATTTGAGTAATTAAAGGATCATAATATATATACTATAAAAGAGATATAATTATTTCTCTTTGATCAATTCTATTTTTAACTATATAGAATTGAGTAAGTTCAAAATTAGTAATAATTTTGTTAGAACAGTCTGAAAGCAGGTCAAGTATAATTTGAGTAAGTTGATATAGAAGTTGAATTCTTTCAAGTACTTTTTGAAGTAGATATAAATTAACTGAGTTGTATACTTTGCTCATATTCTGTGATAGTAGCTAAAGCTCTTTGTTATTATAACATGAGTCCTCAATTATATTATTAAAAATATGAATTGGAGTAGAATTGCTATTTTCTAGAAGAGCAATATAGTTAAGTGGTAATAGGATTTGTTTAGATATTAGAGTAGTACTAAGGCAGTTTGTAAGAATTTTTGTATAGAGTGTTTTAATATATTCAATTAGGCTAATTAGCCTTGTATTATATAAGTTGTCATCAAATACTAGCTTCATTGAGATTGAAAAGATATGATATGTTTTTTATTGTTTTGATATTGTTTGATATACTAGACATCTGTTAAGCAAAATTATAATTGTTTGTAAAAATAGATTATCAGCATATTTAAGTATTTCATAACTAATACTTGATGGATCACATGCTTTATTGTTAGGGAGGTTTTGAAGAGTTTAAATAATTTCTTCAGTTATAATAGTATTAAGAATATTATCATAAGTTGATTGAATTGATAAATTCATAGCAATTTTTTTAAGTTGTATTAAAAGTTTATTGATTAATAAGTTTGAAATTAGTCTATTAGTTAATGTAGTTTCTGATTTGCTTCTTGATAAGTGTAGGATCAGTTATCAATTCTGTAGCTGTTTTAAAATTTTGAAAAAAAACATAATCAGTATACCTATCAAGAATACTATTAATCATTTTAGTTAGTTGTATTTGAAGAGCAAAGTATCATTTTTCTGTTGTTATATTAATTTGTTGTTGAATATGTGATAGATTTTTTATTTTTTAGGCTTTGTATAAGTTTTCTAATATACTTGTAGGTTATTAAACTAAGTTAGAATTTTATCATTATTAATAGAAAAGTTGTTAATATTTAGATTTTGTTGTTAATTAATTGTATTAATTAGAGAAGGAATATTAGTTAGAATTAGAAAGTTGTTATTGTATGTATATTTAACTTGACAAATAATTTGTTTTAATAATTTTAAGGCTTGATAGAGTTGTATAGCTTTTTGTGAATGAGTATAATAAAAGTTCTAAAATTTGATCTTTTTGTTAAGTATTATTTTAAAAGTAGCTAAAATAATACTTGTTTGAATTTTGTACTAATGTGATTTAAGAGAGTTGCTAGTATTTGTATCAAGTAGAGTATTATTTTAATTAAGATTATGGTTAACTTAGTTTGCAAATTCTTCCTATATTTCTTTGTTTATAGAGCTATAATCAAAGATCCTTCTATTTGCTATAAATTTTTGTTTATAGTTTGTATTAGCATAAGGAAATATAATTATAATATTTTTATTGTTAGCATATAATATATAAATAATAATAATAATAATATATTTATATTTATATAATTGAATATTGAATTAGATAAAAATTAATATAATATAGGCTAGTAGTAGCTTTTTATTAACTAAAGTTCTAGAGTCTATATCTGCATACTAAAGTCTTTAAAAGAAATTGTTGCTATAGCAGATCATACTTAAATACTTTAAAGTAGCTAAATAAGTCTAAAAAGTTAAAGAAGAGTAC